GGGGTCGCCACGAGGAGGCTGCGCGGTGAGGACGGCCTGGTGGGTCCCCTAGCCGGCCCGAGGACCCAAAATTGAGGGTCCAGGACCCCGGACTCCGTTCGGACCTAAAACCCAAACCTAGGCACATCCGGAACTTGGAGCTTGAGTTTGGATTGAGAGATCTCAGACCTGGAACCTGGAACCCAAACCTAGGACTGAGAGACCCCAGCCCCAGCTTCATTGGGATGTCTGTCCAAGAGGTCCCAGGCGTACTGAGTTCTGGCGTTCCCCCACCCCTACACCCCACGAGGAGGCTCCAGGCGTCCCCATACTTTGCATCTCAGAAGGGCCAGGGAGCGCATAGATCCCTGAAAGGGCAGGTCCCTGTTGAAATGAACGACATAGACCCCGGTCACGCCTGGCACCATGTCCCTCAGATTACAGCCCCACAATTAGTCAGGACTTGCCCATACCTGACTCTGCCTTTATTCAACTCCCAGATCAGATCTTGAGACCATAGGACCTAGAGTCACCCCCAAACAGTCCCTGAATGTTCACCTAAGACCTGGTGCCCCCACATCTGAGACACTCTTATAGTCTCAGGACCCCTGAGACAGCAGGACCCCCGGGACAGTTTCAAACAGAGTTTGAAACTCTGTTATGCTCTGGAATCTCCAGATGCTGCCCCAACATCTGCCCACAACTGAGTGCCCGCAGACCTGGCCTCCAATCCAGGAACACTGAAGTCTAAGATGTCCAGGGAACCCCCAGACACCCTAGGACCCCGGACTCCTTATGATGCACTGAGTGCTCGGATATACTCAAACACGAGATGTTCTCTTACCAAAATGACTTGGGATACCCATCCCAGAGCCCCCAAGATCCACATATCAGACACCAAGATGCTCTGGAAGCCAGGGATCAAAGACCTCCACAGGTCCACCCACCCCAAAGCCAGGGTTCTCAGGAGCTTTGGATATCATTTATAGGACTCAGAGGTGCCTGGTGCCCTCAAATGTGCGACTGAAGGCTACCAACACTTCAGGGCCCGAGATACTGGTCTCAAGTTCTCAAACGGCCCTCTCACAGTTCCTCCTGGACCTAGATTTTGAGACCCCAAATGCCCTGGAATCTTCAGCTTCTTTCTATCCACAGATTCCCGACCCCTTAAGGGCTGGGAATCCAGCTCCCAGAAGACGGGATGCTCATGGCGACCCAGACCTCTGACCCCCTTGGCCCTCAGCCCCTGTGTGATCCCAAGGTACTTTAGGAGCACTGGATCCAATACCCCAAAGGTGCCACTGACCCCCAAATGCAAGGCTCAAGACCCTACAACATTGGGATTGTTCCTGATCCAAGACCTTCATCCCTCCAAACCAGAGGCATTCAGATTTGCGGTGCCCCAAGACCCTAGCACCCTCCCACCCCATATTTCTTTGGACTCAAACCTCTCTAGCCTGATGAACCCCAAGATGCCTCTACATCCGATTCCCCCAGCCCCACTTGTCCATCCTTGGAGACCTGCTGCCCCTTGAATCCTGCCATCCATAGGCCCCCAAAACTCCAAGGTTCCAGACTCTGGAATTCTGGTCCCAAGGATCCCGGCCCAAGCCCCCAGCAATCCTCAGAATTACCCCTTTACCTTAGGGTGGGATTCCTTCCATTTGGAACTCATTGTAGGACTGCCCAGGGTGGGGCGCAGTGGCTCATGCCTTGTAATCCCAGCACTTTGGGAGGCCAAGGAAGGAGGATCGCTTGAGGCCAGGAGTTTGAGACCAGCCTGGGTAATGTAGTGAGACCCTGTCTCTTAAAGAAAAAAAAAAAAAAAGGGACCAACTAGGAGCTCCGTCACTGTCATGTCTAGGACCCAGCATTGTCACAGATGATTATGCAGAGTCTTCATTAAGTGAAGGCATACAGCCCAGGGTTTCGAGGAGCTGGAAGTCACACCAGTCTGCTGGCCATGCTGTGCCCTTGGAAGTGTGTGCAATGGAACCTTTCAGGCTAGGTATGGCTCTGCTGTCCCACAGCCCCCACCCTTGCAGATCTTCCTTCAAGTTCAACCTTAATTCCTAGTCCAGGTTCAAGTTCAACCTTTTATGTTCTGCCCCTCCATTAACCCCTTCTCTTCCTATTTATTTATTTGTTTGTTTGTTTGTTTTGAGACAGAATCCCGCTCTACCACGCAGGCTGGAGTTCTGTGGCACAATCTCGGCTTACCACAATCTCCCCTTCCCGGGTTCAAGCCATTCTTCTGCCTCAGCCTCCCGAGTAGCTGGGATATCAGGCATGTGCCACCACACCTGGCTAGTTTTTTGTATTTTGAATAGAGATAGGGTTTCACCATGTTGGCCAGGATGGTCTCGAACTCCTGACCTTGTGATCCACCTGCCTCAGCCTCCCAAAGTGCTGGGATTACAGGCGCGAGCCACTGCGCCTGGCTCTCTTCCACTTTAGAGTTAGAAGTTGCTTCAGGAAATTTGAAAGCCTGTAGCCCGCTGAGTCTCTTCTTCTGTGCAAGGGGGGAGTGCCACAGGCTTTTTTTTCCCCAAGTGAAATGGGACTTCCAGTGGATTGAAGATCCGGTGTCCTGTATGGGGGCATCAAGGTCTTGGAGCAAGACAGCCTCAGTGTTGTGTGGGCTTGGAACCTGCATCTGGCCCCAAGCATCTGGAACTGTGCACTTAACCTTTCTTCATTACCCAGACTTGGATGGCCTTGTTGGGGTTCAACGGATAGGTCCTCTGTCTCTTCCTTTAAATTATTAACTATTTATTACATCCGGAACCTGTGAGATTCAGCACTCCCAACCAGACCCTGGGATGGGTGAGAGAAAAGCGGGGGTGTCTCTCCCCTCCCAACTCTGCCCAGCTCTCATCACTGTCAGACCCACCAGAGCTGAGGGTGGAGGGATTGGGGGCTGGGGCAGCCTGGGTTCCCATGCCCCTCTCTGTGCCTCGGTCTCCCCCCTTCCGTGGTGGGCAGGGGGGAAGCTCCATTCTTAACCTACCTCGTTTTGGGGAGGGGTGGGACGGGGGACCAGAGTGCTGTACGGTGCTGTGGGATCTGCAGATGAAGCGGTGGGGGCTGGGGAAAGGTCCCCTGGCCACCACTTCCCAGCAGCGCCTCTCCCAGGTCCCCCAGTCCTGCTCCCTGCTGAGACCCACCTCTGATCCATGATTCCCCTTCATTGCCCCCAAATCAGGGGTGCATGGAGGGCCGCCCTGGGAGCCAGGAAGACCTCAGACCCTAGAGCCCCCAGGCCCAATTTCCCAGCCGCTTGCCCCTCAGATTGGATGCTTGGCCCCCAGATTTGGGGGAGGCACCCCAACACATATCTTCCTGATCTTGATTCTAAGCCAGTCTGTGACCTCAATATTGTTAGTGTCAGTGCAGGCTGAAGTGGTGGGGGAGGATGGGGGCCAAAGACCCAGCCTTGTCATCGGGGGAGGGGGCACGAGATCTGCTCCAAGAAATGTCTGTGACAAAGTCTCAGCCTGTGTTATTTATTTGCCTCTGTGTACCCCACCCACTCACCTTCCTGAACTGCCAAACAAGTCTCCTACTTCAATTCTCCCTTCTCCCATCAGACCCTCAAGCTGAGTTTTATAAGACACTCAACAAGTGCATTTATTGAACACCTAATTATGTGCCAAGCCCTGCTGAAAGCACTGGAGATAAAGCAGTGGGCAGAGCAGACCGAAGTCCCTCCTGCAAAGAGTTTATGAGCTTTATAATAGGGGAGATAATGAGTAAATGACTTAATATGTTAGAAATGATAGCAGAAAGAAAAAAAGAAAGTGGGAATGGGGGATACACACCGTTTTAGCGAGAGTGGCCAGGTCAGGCCCTCCTCAGGAGCTGGCATTTGTTGTCGTCGTTTTGAGACGGAGTCTGACTCTGTCACCCAGGCCAGAGTACAGTGGCATGATCTCTGCTCACTGCAGCCTCTGCCTCCTGGGTTCAAGCGATTCTCCTGCCTCAGGCTCCCAAGTAGCTGGGACTACAAGTGGGTACCACGATGCTCGGTTAATTTTTGTATTTTTAGTGGAGTCAGGGTTTCACCATGTTGGCCAGGCTGGTCTCGAACTCCTGACCTCAAGTGATCCACTTGCCTTGGTCTCCCAAAGTGTCCCAAGTGATTCCAGGTGGAAATCTCCCAAGTGATTACAGATGTGAGCCACTGTGCCCGGCCAGGGGCTGGCATTTGAATAAAGCCCTGACGGGGGTGAGGGAGTCCTGGGGATGTCTGCAGGGAAGGGTGTTTTAAGTAAAGGGAACAGCCAGTGCAAGGCCCTGAGGCAGGAGTGTGTCTGGTAAGTCTGAGGAGCTTCAGGGAGCTAGAGTGTTGAGAGGGGAGGAAGGAAAGAAGAGAGTGCCAGGAGATGAGGGCAGAGGGGCGATGGGGCAGATCTGTAAGGCGCTGAAGGCACTGAATGGACTTAGGTTTTTACCCTGAGAGAGACTGAGCCACAGGAAGTTTCAAGCATGGAAGGGATGTGACCTGACTCAGTTCACAGGCTCCCTCTGCTGCATGTGGTCAGCAGAGTGGGAGTGGGCTGGGGGGCAGTTTGCCAAAGAGGAGGCTGCTGTGAAGGTTCAGGACAAGACAGCGGCAGGCAGGTCCAGGGTAAGGGCCCTGAAGAGTGGAGAAGTGGACAGGTGCTGGGCCTACTTTGCAAATAGAATCCACAGATTTATATATGGGGTTTGAGATAAAGAGAGGAGTCAAGATTGGAAGTCCAGGTTTTTGGTTGGAGCAATTTTTTTTTTTTTTTTTGATTGAGATCATCACCCAGGCTGGAGTGCAGTGGCATGATCACAGCTCATTGCAGCCTCAAACTCCTGAGCTCAAGTGATCCCCCCACCTCAGCCCCCCGAGCAGCTGGGATTACAGGTGCGCACCACCAATCCTGGCTAATTTAAAAAATGTTTTTGTAGAGACATGGTCTCACTATGTTGCCTGGTCTGGTCTTAAACTCCTGGGCTCAAGCGATCCTCCCACCTCAGCCTCCTGAAGTGTGGGGATTACAGGTGTGAGCCACTGTGGCCCACCTCTGGGCAATTTTTAACATTCGATTTATGTCAACAAATAGCCCCCCAAGTGTCCTGCCTTGGGGTAAACAGGGTTATGGGGTTACTCAGATCTGTCCTTAAGGAACAAGTTCTATCCCTGTTCTTCCCTCTAGGCTCCTGGTCCACCCCCAACTTCCAGCAGAATTGTTTAGGAACTACTGGATACCAGAATACTGTAAGGAAGAGATTAGATCTAGCACAATGTTTACTTAGCAACAGCAACAAAACAACAGTAGTAGTAACCGTAGAAATAGGTTCCGTGGTTTAAGAGCATGGAGTCTGGAATTTCATCTTCAAGCCGTGGCATCACCAGGAATTCACTCTGTGACTTATCTTCTCTCAATCTTAGTTTTCTCCTCTGTAAAAGAGATAAGATACTTTGCCCAGTAGTACACATTAAATGCTATATATATATATTAGTTATTCTTTATTAAGTACTCCCTTTTTATCTGCTAAGCACTTTTTACATATGAAACTCCAATTAATCCTCAGTAACAGCTCTAAGAGGTAGGTACTATTATCCCCGTTATATAGATGGGAAGCAATTTGGCAGGAACATGGAGCTGGTGAGTAATAGAATCAAACCCTAACCCTTGTCTGCCTGACTCCTAGGGTATAATTTCTCAACCACTATGGTGCACTGCACCTACTCATTCCAAGGCTTAGAAGGGAGAGGAGTGAAGGCCTAACAGGCGCATTGTGACCGATGAGGAGGGCCTGGTGTGTGAGGGGTGTGCCGGGATTCCTAGGTCCCTTATGTAATTCAAACCCTGAGGTGTAAAGGAGGGAGAAAGTTTTGGATTTTAGGCTGAGTTGGGTGAACACCACTCCATCTGGGCTGCTTTAAGAGCAGAGGACAGGGCCAGGCACACTGGCTCAAGCCTGTAATCCCAACACTTTGGTAGGCTGAGAGGGAAGGATTGCTTGAACCCTGGAGTTAAGAGGCAAACCTGGGAGACATAGCTGGACCCCTCTCTATAAAAATTTCTTTTTTGACATGGAGTCTCGCTCTGTCGCCCAGGCTGGAGTGCAGTGGCTTGATCTCGGCTCACTGCAGCCTCTGCCTCCCGGGTTCAAGTGATTCTCCTTCCTCAGCTTCCTGGGCAGCTGGGACCACAAGTGCATGCCACCATGCCTGGCTAATTTTTGTATTTTTAGTAGAGATGGGGTTTCACCATGTTGCCCAGGCTGGTCTCGAACTCCTGACCTCAAGGGATCCACCCACCTCAGCCTCCCAAAGTGCTGGGATTACAGGCGTGAGCCACCACGCCCAGCCTCTACAAAACTTAAAAAAAAAAAAAAAAAAAAAAGGCCGGGTGCGGTGGCTCACGCCTATAATCCCAGCACTTTTGGAGGCGGAGGCGGGCGGATCACGAGGTCAGGAGATCCAGACCATCCTGGCGAACACGGTGAAACCCCGTCTCTACTAAAAAAATACAAAAAAATTAGCCGGGCGTGGTGGCGGGTACCTGTAGTCCCAGCTTCTACGGACGCTGAGGCAGAAGAATGGCGTGAACCCGGGAGGCGGTGGAGCTTGCAGTGAGCGGAGATCGCGCCACTGCACTCCAGCCTGGGCGACAGAGCGAGACTCTGTCTCAAAAAATGACCCGTCGCAGTGGCTCACGCCTGTAATCCCAGCACTTTGGGAGGCCAAAGCAGGAGGATCGCTTGAACCCAGGAGATGGAAACCAGGCATGGCAACATGAGGAAACCTTGTCTCTACAAAAAAATTAAAAACAAATCAGCCGAGTGTGGTGGTCTGTGCCTGTGGTCCCAGCTACTAGGTATAAGCCATCAAGCCTGACTGATTTTTAAAAATTTAGCTGGGAGGTTGACGTGGGAGGATCTCTTGAGCCCAGGTGGTCGAGGCTGCAGTAAGCCGTGACGGCACCACTGCAGTCCAGAACGATAGAGCGAGATTTGCCTCAAAAACAAACCAACAAAACGCCAGCAGAGGACAACTGAGGGAGGAAAAGGAAAAGGACACCGAAGCTGTTTTTATGTTACCGCAACAGTGACACCCGCCGCCAGTTTGTCTAACATCGGAGATCCGGAACGCACTGCGATTTACAGCGCCAGGGGGCGTTCCTAGAACCCTGTCAGGTTACCCGAGGGGCGGGGAGGGCGGGCCCCGGGGCGGGTTCGGCGTCCTCCTGTGCCAATGGGAGCACCCAAGCCCCTGCGCGGGAAGATGCCGATTGGTCAGTGCCGCCAGACGCTGCGAGGA